TTATTAGTGATTATCAAGATATCTTAGCTCAAAGTTTTTAAAATTGGATATAGTTTTATTTTGATAAATGGTTTAAATTTTTTAAAAATTTAAGCAATGATCTTAACAACTATTGTCACGGAGTTAATTAAAGGATGCTAAATCCTCGAAATATCTAGTGCTAGATGGTTATAGCTTTGCTCTGGGTGGCTCAAGAGATGCCAACTTTATCAATATTCTCATGTTAATAACTAAGATTTAAGCTTTCTTATCGTTTAGTACTGCTTGTATATTTTGAATGTTTATTAATAAAGGCATTTTTATTAATTCAAAATAATGGGTTTAGGTTTAGACTTTATTGTGTATTTGCAGAGAAGAAAATCCCTTTATTATCTTTACTCTTCCCTCTATTTATGTTCTCTATTTTTCTAATCGTAATATATCCAATTGACAAACTACGAAAATATTACTATATTGTTCATGCGCTACTTATTACTACATTGTTCATGCGATACTAATTGCTACTTATTACTACATTGTTCATGCGATACTAATTGCTACTTATTACATTATTTATGCGATACTAATCACTACTTATTACTACATTATTCATGCAATACTAATCGCTACTTATTACTACATTATTCATGCGATACTAATTGCTACTTATTACTACATTATTCATGCGATACTAATCGCTACTTATTACTAAATTGATTGTACCTGATTTCTTGTCCATCCCCCCATCACCTGATTTATCTCTCATTATCAAGTCACATGCATTGGGATCAAAACCGTGACACAAACTATATCTCCTTAGATCATCATCCATGAGATCTACACTTAAAGTTTTTCCATTGTCATCATTTCCATTTAAAGTATATGACTTAAGCTTTTTAACTCTATTTCTAGTGACGGAATCCTTAAAAGGGCTTCCATCAATTTCATTAATATAGAATTGACCTTTGTCCCTGATTTTTCTTACCACATACAGCCCAAGCCATCGATAATCAAGCTTTCTCAACAGAGCCGTGTTTAGTATTGAATCATATATTAACATTAGATCTCCTATTTCTATTTTTTCTTTCTCCTTTGAATGTTTATTATGAAAATATTTCCATTAGTGCCGAAGTTCGTCCCTACTTGTTCTTGCATATTGCAGATCTCCCACCATTTCACTTATTTATCGTGTTCTATATTCTAAAAGTTTTTCTGTAGTCTATTTGACTCTGCTTATAAACATTTGGTAGCTCTCTAAGGTTAACTTGACAGGTGTAATTGCATCTCGGCCATATACAAGGTAAAATGGTAAATAGCCAAGATCTGTAACTGTAATATTTATCGCCCATACCGCTCCTCTAACATATTCATGCCACTTATTTTGTTTCTCAGCACAGATTTTTTGCAAGACGTGAGAAATTTTTTTGTATAGTGCGTTCAGCTCTTCCATTTGCTTCGAGGTGATAACTGGTTACAAACCATTAATCTACATTTAATCGACAGGTGAGTTCATCAAGTAGTCCATTTTTGAATTCCATTCCTCTATCAGAAACCAGTACTGAAAACATCCATGCCTTGTTATTATATCTTCCCATATAAACTTCGCAATACTTTTCGCATTTTTCTTTTGCAATGGGTGAGCTTCAATGTATCTTGTTAGATCTTCCACGGCTATTACAATGTAGTAATGACCAGTACCAGATCTAGGTAATGGTCCAATACAATCTACAAAGACTTTGTGGAAGATCCAACTAGTTTCAACAATGTGGATCAGTTCCTTGATCTTCTGTTCTCTACATCGTTGGCAGATCAGACAAGACATCACATATTTCTTTACATCACAATACATATTTCTACATGCCCATTTATATTTTCGCAAAATCACTCTAGCTGTTCCATGTACCCCTCTATGACCTTCTTCATCCAATATTCCTTCATGACTTGCAGCTAAAATCATATCTTTATCCTTATTATCATATATAACTCTTCTTGGGGACAAGTTTCGTTTTCTTCTTTCAAACAAAATGTTATTAATCAAACAGAATCTTTTCAGCTTCCTTTGTAGTCAGAGTATGTCCCTAGTCCAAACTGTCTTTCACCAATGCAAATTCTTTAAATAGTACTCTACCTCCACCAAATCTTTGATGACCGGATTCTCAATGTCGACTCTCATCAACATGCTATCAACGAACTCTTCATCAGTAATTGCTTCATCATGGGTGTTTTCAGGATATCTGGATATTTCATTTTAGTTTTCATATTTCCAACCAGATCTGTAATGAATTCGAAACTCAAATGACTGGAGAACTAGAACCCATCTCATTAAATGTCCTCTCAATTCAACTTTATTAAAGAGCCACTCCAAGGCCTGGTGATTGGTCCATAGATCAAATACTGTTCCACCAACATACCTTTCATTCACTTTACACCCATATACTATCGCTAAACACTCCTTTTCCATCACAGTATAATTAAGCTCATGTGCATTCAACTTTCTTGAGTCAAAACTAACTGGTCTTAATTTTTCTTTATTTTTGAGTTGTTCTAGGACTACACCCACAGAAATGTCACTAGCATCTGTGTGCATTTGATAAGGTCATAACTCTTCTCTAGCCCTCTGCCAATCTGGTCCCTTCAAAATGACATTATTCGCGAGTATATTCTTAAGCATGCTAAAAGCTATGTCTTGTTCATTATTCCACCTGTACTTCACTTCCTTCTTGGTTAAATCCGTCAATGGTGTAGCTATTTTGCTAAAATTTTTTATGAACCTTTTATAATAATTTACAACGCCAAGAAATGACTGTATTTCGGTTTCATTGGTAGGTTTAGACCACTCTAATATTTTACTTATTCTTTTGCGGTCTATTCGTATCCCATTTTTACTAACTAAATATCCATACATCAGAATTTCTTTGTATAGTAAGTGACACTTTTTTGTAGCAAATGTTATGCCCGCTCGTTTAAAATATTTGGCTAGTCTTATAAAGGTTTCTATATGGTCTTCGATGCTTCTATTTGTCCAGATTCCAACATCATCTTGGTAAGCAGCAGCCACTTCTTTTTATTCGTTACCCCTTAATAAAATATCTATTAATTGTTGATATGTTTCACTTGCATTTTTCAATCCCATACATATAACAGTATATTTTAATACCCCAACAGTGTCGACACGGCAACTATATCACAATTCTCCTCTCTAATCTTTATTTGCCAATATCCTTTAAAAGCATTAACAGTACTATACCAATCATGTCCGATTGCTCTTTCAAGGATATCACGTATTAACGGAAGAGGGTAACCATCCTTTACTATATACTTATTGAGTGGTTTTATATTTTTCACTGTATGCATATTACCCATCCCTCCTTCTTTCTTGTTTATTGAAAAACAATGATAGGCAATATTCCCCAACTCCTTCTTCCAACACGCCCCACTTTATCATTTCTTTCAAGTGTTCTTCAAATGCTATCGCCCTTTTCAGATTATTAATTCTAATAGGTCGAAAACGTAAAGGAGGCACTTTTACTCCACCCTTCCTCACCTGGTATTCTACCAAATTCGTCTTCCCCATCTCTGACATATCAAAAGCAAAAACTTCAGAAATTTCATCAATTACTTTGCACTTTAGTTTTTCCTTTTGTTCTACAGTTATATCAGAGCCCACGTTGTTACTGACCCAATTCTCTTCTGTCACTTTTATAACTATAGATATATCTAGCTCTTCAACTAACCCATCCTCTCTTTCTTTCAACGAATCCCAATAGATTATCCGACCTGCATATTCAACATAATCATCTTCCACAGGTAAAATTTCATTAACTTCCACCAGTTGTTTATTGACAGCACCAAGTATTGCCTTATTAATACAGTGCTCCTTTTCTACCTCATCTAAATCAACTTTTCTCACAGCAAACACATCCTTCTCGTCACTTCAATCATCGTCTTCCTGATCATATCTTGCTGTCTTATTAGAGCTATGAATCCAATCCATCAGTACCGTGGAAACTATAAACGAAGATTCTCGACCCAGAGATGAAACGTGCACCAATATTGGTTCTCACGCCATCGCAGCTCACATCAGGCCTTCACAATCCAGGCCATGCCCAAGAGAACATCAAAGCTGGCACTTTCCATAACATAGAACCTATCATTAACCATTATTCTCTTCATTTCAACTTCTATATCAGTCATATAGCCGACAAACTTGCTCACATGAGTATCAGCCATCCTACCCTTTCCATCAACCTCCTGCCAAACGAGGCCTCTTTTTTTAGCATAATCCTTATGCATCAAGTTCAACTGGGACCCTGGGTCTAGTGACTTAGTGGTGGCGAATGGGAGAGCGCAATCACATGATTTTTGACCAATCACATTACAAGATCAGGTGTAATGTAAAATCAAAACAACGAAGTATTAAAATTATAAAATCTTTCTTTAGGGTATATATTGTTTAGCACTAAGGTGCTTAAAAACTATATTAAATGTAAAATTTTGCAAGAAATTTTTTTTATTAAGATACCAAAGACGGTTTCATAAGCAAAATTTTGAGTTATTAGCGGTTTTTGGAAAAATGAACGGTTGTTTTGAATTTTCCTGTTTGTGCTACGTTATACCTGATCTTGAAATATTATTGGGCAAAGATCACGTGATTGCGCTCTTGTTCGCCACCACTAAGCTACTTCCCTGTGTCTATTGGTGCCTTAACAACATTTCCATTAATATACGCAGTACGGACAAGTACTATTTCATTATCACTTAGATCAGTCTTTCTCTTCATGACTTTAACAAGACTAATCTTAGCATCTAACTGCACCACATCACTCTCTTTCTTGTGACGGGTCAAGGACTTCAAGACTTCAGCTCTTGCTTTTGGAGACCACTTAAAAAGCTGTCCCAAGGTTACAGTCACTTCCAATTCGGCGATTTTCTGCAACAGATCAAGTTTCTGAACTAACTCTGATATAGGAATGTATATTATCATCTTTTTTGTTGTGCTTCAGTTATGTCATTATTATTAACTATCTTCTCCTTCTTAGTAGGTGTTCTTCTTCCACCACGTGCCAATGTTTTTGTAAGTTCCTAACATTAAAAGTCTCTTGGTTGGTGTCTATTTCAATCTTTAAACAGTTTTTCACATCTAACACCTTTTTTTTAATTGTTGTTCTTATGGATTGACATTCTTTATTGTCCACGAATTCGAAAAATCTTACATCCATCTTTTTGACTGTCAGAATAGGTTCTTTTCCTTTTTTTAACTCACCCCTTTCTTGCTTCTTCTTATTCGGACAATTGCGTGATATATGCCCAATTTCTTGGCATGTGAAACACTTTCGAGGTTCTGGCCCTTTTTGGTCTTGCAGTTTTCTTGTTACCTCATTCATAGTTTTAGTAAGCTCATTCACCATAGCTTTGACTTCTTCTAACTCACTTGTTGAGGTCTTCATTACGCTCTGTATTTTGAGGTTTTCAAACGCCTCTGTCAGTTGTGCTACTCCTGCATCCTCATTTGCAGTTGGTGATGCTTCTTTGGATAATGTTCTTGTTGCCTTTTTCACATCATACTCATTGTTTTTATTGTACATTTTGATCTGCAGGGCAAGTTCTTTTGCTTTCGTAAACGTTCCGGATACTTTTCCTTCACCTTTTCTTTGAGTGAACTCTTAAGCCCAGCAACATACCATCGTCTTTTCTCTCTCTCCCGTATTTCCATTTTCACTGGATCCAAGCATGCTTCAAATCGATTAGTATAACTCATAATAGATTCATTCACCATTTGTTTCATATTCATTAATCTATCTATCTTTTCTTCAGTACTATACGAAGCAGACGCTCCATCAACAATGCTCTTCCTCAAATCAGCCCAAGTGGTCTTAGTCTTGATCAGGCCTCTTATCCACAGCCTCAAATGATCTTCCATGAATAGACCCAATACTTGTCGCTTATGGGTATCGTCCTAGTCTTTTGATGTAATGTAAGCTTCAAAATCGAGCAAGAACCCTTTGATGTCTTCTCCTTCTTTTCCGTGATAGAAAGGTTTGGTTTTATCAGTTGTTGTCATTTGTTATTACTTTTAACCTGTTATCACTACTATACTAATAATTTTTCTTAAATACTTGTATGGTGCTGGGCGAGAGACTTGGTGATTTGCCCAGGTTCTATTTGTTACAGAGTTAATTAAAGAATGCTAAATCCTCTAAATATCTAGTGCTGGATGGTTATAGCTTCACTCTGGGTGGCTCAAGGGATGCCGACTTTATCAATATTCTCATGTTAATAACTAAGATTTAAGCTTTCTTATCGTTTAGTACTGCTTGTATGTTTTGAATATTTATTAATAAAGGCATTTTTATTAATTCAAAATAATGGGTTTAGGTTTAGACTTTATTGTGTGTTCGCGGGGAAGAAAATCTCTTTATTATCTTTACTCTTCCCTCAATTTATGTTCTCTATTTTTCTAATCGTAATATATCCAATTGACAAACTACAAAAATATTACTACATTGTTCATGCACTACTTATTACATGCAATACTAATTGCTACTTATTACTACATTGTTCATGCGATACTAATCATTACTTATTACATTATTCATGCGATACTAATCGCTACTTATTACTACATTATTCATGTGATACTAATCGCTACTTATTATTACATTATTCATGTGATACTAATCGCTACTTATTACTACAATATTCATATGATACTAATCGCTACTTATTACTACATTGATTGTACCTAATTTCTTGTCCATCCCCCATCACCTGACTTATCTCTCATTATCAAGTCACATGCATTGGGATCAAAACCGTGACATCATTAAGTTAATTTCAATGAATTTTTTATTTAGATTTTGAGTCTATAGAATTTAAATAAAAAAAGTTTATTAAATTAACTTGATAGTTGTTAAAATATCTTTGCTCAAAGTTTGAGAACCACCAAGTTAATTTTGATATTTTTTTATTTGAAACTACAAATTTATAGAATTTAAATAAAAAAATTCATTAAAATTGACTTAGTGGTTGTTGAGATATCTTTGCTCAAAGTTCAGTACAACTTTTTTTTATTTTAATAATTTTTAAAACTTAAAGTGAAAATATCTCAACAACCATCAAGTCAATTTTGATAAATTTTTTTATTTAAATTCTATGAATTCATAGAAAACAAATAAAAAAATTCATCAAAATTGACTTGATGGTTGTTAAGATATCTTTGCTTAAAGTTTTAAAAATTTAACAAATTTTAATTTACAGGTGGGTACAAATAGCAAAATTGGGATATGTACAGCAGCCACCTTTTGATATTCTAAAATATCCAATAAAATCAAATGCGTATCCTAAATAAATACTAAAAATACCAAAATTATTATATTTCTGTTATTGTGTAAAAATTTCTAATGTAGCAATTTTAATATAAGTTCATATTTTTTTCATGCCATTAAATCAAACAATCAAGAGGATGATGTGTACAATAGAAAGTATATCTAGGCATAATAGATAGAAATTTAATTATAAAATTCTAGATGAATAATTTACAAGTAGATATTGCAGTAAATACTTAGAAGTACATACCGTATTTCTGCGTTATTTCGTGAAAATATATTATAAATATGTATACATTATGCTCATTAGGATTAGGCCTGTTGGGCGACTGTCGAATTCTAAGTTTTATAGATATCAATATCAGTAAGATTTGGCTATTAATTAGCTGCCCAGTACATATTTAAGGAATGGTTTTTTCAAGACAAGACAATTGGTATATATTATATAGTGTTTTGCAAAAAGATGTGACCGCTGAAAATTTCTGAGATTTAGATTGTTGTTTTATATTTTCGATCGGTTACGTTTATATTTCTTTGAAATCGTTAAAGTTCTTAAAATCGATAGAATCTCAAATTCCAAGATGACATAGCACTAAATGAATGATGTTAGTTGTCAAAAGATCCTTTAAATAAAATTTAAGCAAAAGATATTTTTACTATAACTTATAATAATCCTAAGCCTTAAAACGTAACGATCGATGTTGAATATACTGTTGGAAATTTGATACCAATATAATTTCTACGTCGCTAAAGTGCCACAAATGCGAGATGTGTGTTGCGTTCTCAAATAGCCGTATACATTAAATTTGTAAATCCAAAAGTCATTTTCATCCTTTTCGACTCCTATTCCATCTTCATAACAGCATCCAGTACTATATATTGCACTCGCATTTCCCATTTCAGCAGATTTTTGATAATGAATAAATGCCTTATTGTCATCATTTTCAACACCTATTCCAATTTGATAACAATATCCAACTTGACATATTGCATCTGCATCTCCCATTTCAGCAGATTTTTTATAATGAATAAATGCCTTATCTTCATCATTTTCAACTCCTATTCCATTTTGATAACAATATCCAACTTGATATATTGCATCCGCATCTCCCATTTCAGCAGATTTTTGATAATGAATAAATGCTTTATTTTCATCCTTTTCGACTCCTATTCCATCTTCATAACAGCATCCAGTACTATATATTGCACTCGCATTTCCCATTT